CATTTGTGTTATAGCAGCACTATTCACAATAGCCAAGAAGTAGAAGCAACCCGTGTCCACTGACAGATGAATGGGTAAGCAAATGTGGTCTGTACATACAATGGAATATTATTCAGTCACAAAAAGGAAGGAAATCTTGTCATATGCTACAACATGTGTGAACCTTGTGGACACTATGCTAAGTGAAATAAGCCAGTCACAAAAAGGCAAATACTATATGATTCCACATATATAACTTTAGATGCAGAGGTATCCAAGGTACAGCAGTCTCCCTTTATCCACAGTTTTGCTTTCTGCAGTTACCTGGGGTCAACCGTGGTCTAAAAATAGTAAATGGAAATTCCCTGAAATAAACAATTCATAAGATTTAAGTTGTGCACCATTCTGAGTGGAGTGATGAAATCTCACACAGTCCCACCCCATCCCACCTGGACTGGGAGACTTTGTCCACAGTCTCTATGCTATATATGCCACCCACCCATTCATCAATTAGTAGTTGTCGTAGTTATCAGATTGATTGTCAAGGTATCATAGTGCTTGTGTTCAACTGACCCTTATTGCCAGGTCAGTAGCAGCCTAACCCTACATCGCAATGCCCATCATTCACCTCACTTCATCTCATCACATGGACATTGTATCATCTCACGTCATCACAAGAAGAAAAAGAAGGGTGAGTAAAGTGTAAGATATTTTGGGTTTGGGCTGGAGGAAATGGGGGAATGAATAAACCCCCGGGGTTGGGTGCATTAGTGGGTGTGAGAGTTGAAATGAGAGGACTCCAGAGGGGAAGTGACAGCGCAAGGGAAGAGATGAGGACTCCTAAAGTAATTTGTTCCTATTCTTCAGGGGCTTTTGTTTTCCTAAACCTTCAGGGTCATATGTTTTGCTTTACAAAGAGCCTTAGAAAGATCCCTTAAAGGCTGTACCATAAAATCTGTATCCGAAGGTCGATAGTCCATGGATAGAGTGGGAAGACTGAGGGTGGAAAACCCCACTGCCCAAGCCCAGTGGCACCTGTCAAGTACAAAGGCCACATCTCTGAGAGTGAGCGGAGAGCTTTTCTTGAGGAAGAGGTGACTGCCTGTGGTGAGGGCTGTGGTTTCGGAGTTAGAGAATAGTGTCCCATTCCCAGTTTGTTTGGTAACTCCATCTGTGAACCTGGATGAGTCACTTCCCTCCGTCGGCCTCTATTTTCCCTTTTGTGGAATGCAAAAGGACTTTTTTCCACCTGCTTTTGCAGAAGACAGAGTGGCTAAAGGAAAAGAAATTTATACCAGGTAACTTTCAGCAAAGGGGTGAGGCCTAGGCTGAAGCAAAGCCAATGATAAATGAGGATATATGAGGACCAAGGGACCAGGTTTGGCTCACCCTGCTCTTGACATCAGAAGTCCATGAAGAGGACGTAAGTATTAAACAAGACAAACAAATGTTGCCCCAGAGAGCCTGGGTTCTGGGAATATGAACAAGGAATCCTGGCCAAAATTCCAGGTCTCCAAGTTCCCCTGAAAGAGTCATGAGGCTCATGCAGGAGGTGAATCACCACACCCAGGATCTGTCTTGGAGAACTAAACCACGGACTATGAGCCTCAGCAAATGAAGGGGTAGAGAGAGGCTTGATTCAAATAGCTTGGGGATTGTAGCTAGAATATAAGCTGTTTCCCCTGGGTCTTGATAAGACCAAGAAACAATTTTGCCCAAGGCTCTGGATGCTGTTCTAGTTCTGAGGTCAGCGGCAGGTCAAAGCCATAAAGTAGGTCCCCATGGAATCAGCACAAGTGTCTCTAGTATGAAAGACTACGTGGAAAAAGGAGCTCAGAAGAGTGTGGACCTAAAGAAATTGAATTTATATTCTTTCCAGAGTCTGTATTATTTCTTAGTCCAATTCTCCATAAGCAAAAGGCAGAGAAATGGACAGCAGCCCTTCAGAGCCTGGAAGAAAGATCAGAGGATACAGGAGAAAGAAGGATGTTGGCTGCTCACCAGCAACAGTGGTTTCTCTGCAACATGGAAATGCCAATCCTCAGAGCCAGGGGAGGTTCATGAGGTGCCCAGAGGGAGGAGCAGACCCTGGAACACTTGGACTTGTGGAACTCTGTCTTCAAAAGGGGTCTCACAGGGCTGGCCGAGTGGCGCGTTGGTTAAGAGTTGGCTTGGGACGCCAGATCTGAGCAGCAGGGCCCCAGTTCGGATCCCACATGAAGTCCAGTGATGCTGCGCCCTCTACAGCTAAGATGGTAAACAACAGCTTGACCTGGAGCTGGGCTGCTGTGAGTCGCCAGTGTCGGTGTAGCCTGCAGTGGGACTGGCCGGCAGTGGGCATGAACTTTCGTGAGTTGCCATGAGCCGCTGTGAGCCGCTGTCCAATGGCTGGTAAGTGACTGCCTCACCCAGGAATAGCTCAATGATAATACCAACATGGGCCAGTGAAGCGACATCCTCCACAACTAGACTAAAGAACAAAAGGACAGCAACTTGTCTATTCCCCTCCCCCAATTCTCCAATAAAATCTTAAAAAAAAAAGGGGGGGATTTCACCTACCACTTCACAACCATTAGGATGGCTATTATCAAAATGTGGAAAATAAGAAGTGTTGGTGAGGATGTGGAGAAATTGGAACCCTTGTGCATCGCTGGTGGGATGGTAAAATGGTACAGCCCCTGCGGAAAACAGTTTGGCAGTTTCTCCAAAAGTTAAACATAGAATTACCATATGATAGAGCAATTCTACTCCTAGATATATACCCAAAATAATTGAAAGCAGGGACTAAACAGATACGTGTACACCCATGTTCATATCAGCATTATTCACAATAGCCAAAAGGTAAAACTACCCACTGTCCGTCAACAGATGAATAAACAAAATATGGCATATGCATACAATGGAATATAATTTAGCCCTAAAAAGGAATGATATTCTGATATATATGGCAACATAGATGGACCTTGAAAACATCACGTTTAGCGAAATAAACCAGACACAAAAGGCCACGTACTGTATGATTCCACTTATATGAGGTACCTAAAATAGGCAAATTCATATAGACAGAAAGTAGAACAGAGGTTACTGGGAGTTGAGGATGGGAAGTTATTGTTTAATGGGTACAGAGTTTCTGCTTGGCATGATGAAAAAGTTCTGGAAATGAATAGTGGTTGATGGTTGCATGACAATGTGAATGTACGTAATGCCACTGAACTGTACACTTAAAAATGATTAAAAAGGAGAGTTTATGTTTTGCATATTTTACCACAATGAAAGTAAATTTTAAAATATTTTTAAATGGTTAAAATGATAAATGTTATGTATATTTTACCAAAAAATTATTTTCAAAAGTGAGGGAAGAAATTTCATGTCAAAGGGATCTCACTGAGAATGAGACACAGAAACACAGGACATGAGAAGGTGGCAGCAAAGATATTCAGAGTCATGAGCTGAGATGGGGATGGGGACTAGGATGGAGACAAAGAAACCTGTCCAGGAAGGAAAAGTTTAAAATGTGAGAGTCAGAGACGAAACCAGAGAAGTTGAGACCAAAATGGAGCCCTATTAGGGGGTAGGGCTAAGTATGGAGAAAGAAATGAGGATTGTCAGGTCTTATGTTAAAAATGAGTCTTAAGTCTAGACCTGTTCTTCGGCAGGCACATAGGTTTCCATGTTTAACTGCCACAGTGCTTGTGGTGGATGCTTCTGGGACCTTCATCCACTCCACAGTGCCCAACTGGCTGTTGACCTCTGAAGCTTCCTGTCTCCTTTTAGAGCTGAGAGACACCACAGTGAGTCAGTCCTACCAAGGTTTGACTCATTTTTGACCCAGTTTTGGTAATCAAACACAATACCCTGGAATTTGTAACTATGGCTCAAAAGGTATGGTGTGAACGTGCTTGGAAGACCCAGGCTCCTAGCTGCTTCCTGTCGCCATCACATTTCTTTGTAAAGGTTGAAGTGAACAGCATTTAAAGTTGGAGAGACTTGGGTTCAAATTCTGGCTTGCCTCTTACAAGCTGTGTGACCTTGGGCAAGTTACTTAACCTCCTTAAGCCATGGTTTCCTCATTTGTAAAGTGGGGCTACAGCTCTGTAGCCTTCTTGGGGGAGGGGAGCTAGATGAGATAATGTATGAAATGCTTCTTAACATTTTTGTTTGTCACAAAAAAATGGCCTGGTAAGTTAAGGTGGTGGTTATTATTATTTTATTATTATTATTATTATTATTATTATTATTACCACTATGTTAGTACCCTGAGATCTTTTGATTATCTAGGATATCCTTGCCATAAGGGCAATGGAGCTTCAGTAACCCAGACTCCTGCAGCTCTGGATTTAGAACAGGAAGGACCTGAACCTAACCTGGGCTCCCCAATTTACTAGTGTGACCTTGGGCATTTTTCACACTGAGTGTCAGTTTTCTCATTTGTAAAATGGGGATGATTACATACAGTTGTAAATGTTGAATTAAATAATATGTATAAAAACTTTATAGGGCCAGCCGAGTGGCATGATGGTTAAGAACTGACTTGGGATGCCAGAGGGCCCCGGTTCAGATCCCACATATGAGGGCCAGTGACACTGCCCTCCACAGCTAAGATGCTGAACAACAGCTCAACCTAGAGCTGGGTTGCCATGAGTCGCCAACGATGGCGTAGGCTGCAGCCCCTGTGGCAGTGGGTTGCCATGGGCTACTGTGTGTAGCCAGCAGCCAGCGTGAGCGGCCAGCAGCTGCAGTGAGCAGCCGTCCAGAAGCCGACGACTGATGTGCTTCTCCCGGGGAAGAGTGCAATGATGGTGCCAACTTGGGCCAGTGAAGCTACGTTCTCCACAACTAGACTGAAGAACAAAAGGACAGCAACTTGTCTGTTCCCCTTCCCCCAATTCCCCAGCACTGTTCCCATCCCCCAATTCCCCAATAAAAATCTTTAAAAAAAAAAAAACTTTATAAATAGCAACAACAAAAGTACAGATGTATAACATACTCAGGATCAGAAGCATGGATGTATCTGGGCCAAGGTTAGGGTCAAGGTGGGAATCAAGGTTGGGAATGGCACCAGGGCTGTAAGAACAACTGTGATCAAGATCAGGGTTGGCGTTGGGGTCAAAACAAAGTTTTGGAGTCAGATAGGGAAGGAGTCATAAACAAAGGCATGGTAGGGGCTCGGGTGGAGTTTTGGTTTGGGCTAGGAATCCAGGTGGACAGTGTTCTCTGTCTGAGCCCTCAGGGATACAGCTGTGCTGTGCAGTGACTCAGAGGCGGCCACACTGCCTAGCATCAGGCTCTAATCCAGAGATCTTGCTTTGGAAGAAAGTAGAATGTGAGATGTAACAAATCCTGAGAGACTGGTGGAAGTGCAGGCCTTTAGGGAGACAGTTTGATTGCAGTAGTTCAGCCACCTCATTTCCTTCATCCTTCTCCCCCAAGCCTGGTAGGTAGCTAATGCACATTAAGTACCAGCCTATCTCTAGGTGCATCCTGCACAGTGCCGGTTTGCACAGCTCGCATCATCCCTCCTCCATCATCCATCCATCAGCCATCATCTATCATCATCCATTTAATAAAGGTTTATTGAGTATTTACTATGTGCCCAGCACTTTGCTAGACCCTGAGGATCCAACAATGATGTCTTCAATCCAGAAGGAGAGACAAAGCACACGGTCGATTCCCATTTTCCGCATTTGGGTGTATTTGTGGGATTGGTAGTAGGTTCCAAAATCAGTTCATGAGGCAAAGATTACAAAATGATTCTTGAAAATCCCTTGTTACCATTTAGAAGCACAAAAGCCAAGAAATAACATCTATTTCTCTTTGTACCTTGGGTATGAGAGTAGATGTCAAGATCTGGCTTTAATGGTGGAATGGGACTCCAAATAAGGAATTTCTTTGTTTCTTGCTCTTTTAGCTGAGTGTACATAGTTGGGTTTGCATAAGTTATAACTGTATTAATGATGGGAGTCCAGTGTAAATATAAATTACATCAATATGTTTGTAAATACTTTAAGGAGGAATAGGGTGTACTGTAAGAACACACAGTGGCGGGACATAGCCTAGGAAGGGGTGGAAGAGTGAGTGAGGAGGTGACATTTAAGCTGAATCCTAAAGGTGAATATGAGGTAGCCTGTCATAAAGGGGAAAAGGACTTTCCAGGCAGGGGAATTGACATGAGGCAGAAAAGTACTCAGTGCATCTCAGGAACTGAAAGACAGTCAGGTTGGAGATACTGAAGAGATAACAAAGGGCCTCCCAAAGTCAGTCCCCAAAGTGACGACCTCTTTCACATGTTCTGACGCCTTGTAGATAACAGCATGGAGGTAAGGTGGTCTGACTCAGGGAATTAAAGAATTCAGAGTACAGGGCCAGAGAAACAAGGAAGCAGCAACATCTTTTGGAATCATTCGGCTAGCTGCCCTGTGGGATGCAAAGGAAAATAAGAAACAAGTTATTGGAAACAGAGACAGTGGAATTCACAGCTATAGTGAGTATCCTACACATAGACATAAACCGAGGGTCACAAATGCAAACACCCCAGAGGCTAAGCAGGTAATGGAAAGAGTAAAGCAGGCTGAGTGCACGACAATAGGGAAGAGTAGGGACTGTGCCCGTGGACAGCTCTTACTTATCTTGTTTAAAGGGGCAACTGTTATTCAGCTCCCACTAATTGTTGCCAAGTGGGAACTGAGGACCAGTTTTGTTAGATTTGCCATATTGTAGCAGATGCTGTCAGTTCCAGCTTCCTCTGGCCTTTGAAGCCAACTCTTCCTTTTGTACAGCAAGCTCGATGTTCCCGAGGAATTAACACCGCCATTACCCCTCCTCTCCCATGTTGTGGCAGCTCCCAACCAATGACTGATGGATTTGATGGATAAATATGCGAATGCTTTTGCCTCTCAGGTGAGATAACTTTGAGACACGTGTTCTACACTGTTTCCCTGATACCCCCAGGATACTTAAGCTCCAGATGCTCAATTGTAACTTTCTTGATAACTTACCCTCATGGGTCTCCTCCCTTCCCTTCCCTGTTCACTTCACCACTCCCTAACTAGAGTTTCCTAGGATCACCTACCAAATAAACTACTTGCAACGGAAGCCTGTCTCAGGGTCTGCTTCTGGGACAAGCCAACCTAAGGACAAACAAATGTTAAGAAATCTTTGAGGGCCAGCTGAGTGGCTCAGTTGTTTAAGAGTGCGAGCTCTGAGCAACAGGGTCGCCGGTTCGATTCCCACATGGGCCAGTGAGCTGCGCCCAAGCTGAGCTGCCTCTGAGCCACCAACATGTGGCTCATGTTGCAGGATGGCTCAGCTGGTGAGAGCACGTGCTCCTAACAACAAGGTTGCCAGCATGGGATGGTGGCTATGCTCACCCGCAACTAACATTGAACACAGTACCTTGAGCTGAGCAACCCCGAGCTGCCAACGGGTGGCTGGATGGTGACTGGAGTTGGAGCTGAGCTGGCTGCACCCTCCACAACTAAGATTGAAGGACAACAACTTGGCTGTTCCCCTTCCCCAATTCCCCAATAAAATCTAAAAGAAAGAAAGAAAGAAAGAAAGAAAGAAAGAAAGGAAGGAAGGAAGGAAGGAAGGAAGGAAGGAAGGAAGGAAGGAAGGAAGGAAGGAAGAAAGAAATCTTTGAAATCTAGGCTTCTTTTTATGTTAGAACTCCCCAATTAAAATGGTGCGTCTCAACAGAGACAGGTTTAAAGGCTGGATTTGGCCAATAGACCATCAGTTTGGGATTCCTGACGTAAATTAAGACTTCGTCTGTCTTTCTTACAGCAACCACCCAGGAAAGGCCCATATTTGCCAAAGAAAAGTGTTTAAGCAAAAATTAGATGAGAAAGTTCTAAGGGTAGAAACTCGTGTCATATGGAAATGACTGCTTAAAATACAGGGAATTAGAGAGCAGCTGAGCACAATGATGAACGCTACTGCTAGAATGGCAGCTTCTGCCCATGGCTCCCCGCTGCATGCCGCCTTCTTTGCATCCCCGGCAGCCACCATTCCCCACTAGGGTAAGTCACATGAAAACCCCATGGAAAGTCTCAGAGCCAGGCAAGCCCAGCAGCCGCCCACACTAAACTGGTTCTGCAGCAAGAGTGACAAGCCAGGGCCTGCTGGCTGCAGGGTCCTCAAAATCAGACTCTCCTGATTCCCGGTCTGCAACCCTCACTGTGGCCACGAGCCAGCTGCTGTTCTGCATGATCTTAGCTCAGCTTGCCTGGCCTCTTGGTGACAGATAAGGTCCCAAGGGTGTGGGTGTGAGGAGCTGGTAGGGGGTGCCACGAGTCCCTCTTGCACTTCTAACCAAGCCAGCTGTCTAGGTAGTCATCCAATCCAGCCACTCAAAGTGCTGACAGGAGGCACTGTCATCCTGGTGCTGCAGAGAGGAAGACACGCCAGGCCCTAGAGGATGGAGGGCTGCACCTGGCTGAGATGTCCAGACAGGCCCACAGGTGACAGTCAGTACCTTATGCCCCAAGCTTTCTCCAGCAGTGTTTGCAGAGCCTGTGCTATTTTAGGTTCCTTTGTCATCACTGCAGGCAAACTGGACTGGAGGAGTCTGATTAGAAGGGAAAGAACCGGTTTAACAGAGCTGGGGCGTTGGGAACTACTTCTCTGAGTTGGCACCATAGTGCCAAGCAGAAAGGCCTGGTGTCAATGCTTCTGACTCAGGACTGAGTTAGGATTTTAGCACCAGCTTCAGAGCAACTTGTCAGACAAAAGAGACAAAGAGGAGGACTTTGAGGTTCAGGGGCCAGCGGCTATAATTCCCCTCTCAGGAATAAGCATGACAGTAATACCTTGTAATAAATGTGCTTTACAGTATATAAGATACCTTTATAGACATGATCTCATTTGATTTTTACCGCAGTCCTACGAGGAAGGCAGGTATTATTCATCCCACCTTTAATATAAGGAATTTAAGATACACCAACATAAATGACTTGCCCAAGGTCACAATCTTAAGAGGGTGACAATGGCAGGGCCTAAATTAATTGCAGACAGGGGTTTGGCAACCTAGATTTGCACATCTAGAAGTCTTTGTTGGAAGAGGGGAACTCAGGGAGAGAGGAACGGTCTTGGCCTTCTGCTGGTGGCCCCAGGAAATATGGGGCTTCATGGATCAGTGGCTAAGGAACGGCCGCACCCACAGATCCTGTTGGTGGTCTGGGTCTACAGGGCAGTCACCGTGGACCTCAGGCCAGCTTCATCTCCTCTCTTAGTAGGTGGGTGTGAAGGATTTTTCTATTCCCCTCATGCTGCCCTCTGAGTCAGCTCTCTGGCATTGCCCTGGCATGTCATGGGCCCCACGCCCAGGCAGTGAAGAAGTGCTGGCAGATTGCCGCAGGGAAGGCTATTGTCTTAAGTCAAGCCAAGTCCAGTAAAGACCCCCTTCCTGGAGGCAGCCCGACAATGGCTGCTTTGGGAGCTGTGACTTGTAGGCACAGGTGTGTCTCCCTCACCCCCCACCCCCGGGCTTCCTGGCACAGATGGCATTGGGCACATGCTTTTACCTGAAGGCTGCAGCCCAGGAGGGGGATGCAGGGACCAAATACATTTTAGAGAATGGCTCAGCCAGGCTCCCCACCCCAAAGCCCTGCTTGGGTTTCTGGTCACATCCAAATAGCTGGGGAGGGAGTTGCTTTTGGACAGAAAAGGGGAAAAGGGAGCCAAGACTCCAGCCTGAAGCTGCCTCAGCTGTTTCTGGGGCTCTGACTCAGAGGCTGCTTCTCAGGAATGTTGAGCACATGGGCCTCGGAGCACCCCGTCCAGGCACGGTGGAAGGAACAGCTGGGGCATGGGAGTCCTTTTACCCTCCTCTCTCTTCTCTGAAGGTACCTCTTCCAGAGATACCCCACCACGAGGCAGATGGAAGGCTCATCCTGGAAGGAAGCCTCCCCAGACCACCTCAGCCCTGAGGGACCCACCCCTGCAATGACTGTCTGCAGCAGCCCATTTATACTTATCAAAATGTTGCCTTGCATAGGTGTCTATCCATCTCTACCCCTCCCTCTCATTATCTTATCTCCCTAATTCTGTTGTAATCTCATGCTTCTGGGTTAAAAAGGGTACCTTGAGCATAACACTTGATAAATATATTGATTGATAATCTGAGAAAAGAAAAGAGCAAAGAAAAGGAGAAGGCAAAGAGAAACAGTGAGAAAGCCACCAATCTGGGTCACAGCCCCAAATCTGGGGAACCTGCATCTCTTCCCCAGACAAGCTCCCAGACCACTTGGGGACAGGAGAGCAGAAAAGCTTTGGTAAAGTGACTGGGACTTCCTTGATACCAGTACCCACCCCAATCCCAGATCTGCCCTCAGATCTGCCAGGCGCCTCTGGGAATCCTTCCACCTCGAGAGCAAGGGCCTCCGCAGCGATTCTCCAAATGTGGCCAAGTTCTCTTTTCTGCCTCTCTCCTTTATCTCATTTCTCTAAAGTAGGTAGATAGACCATGGGATAATCCTCAGTGAAATGAGACCCGAGGAGAACTAACCCTGGAACAGAAATCATGTCAGCCACTTATCACATGATACAATGATTGTAGGTTTAATTGCGTGCATACTTCCTAAGATCATAAGAGCTGGGTTAGGCAGAGTCTGTCTTGTCCACGGAGTTAGTCTCAGAGTCTAACACGCTACATGGTACACAGCAGGCACTCAGTAGGGTGTTCCATGCACATTTGTTGATTTGGTGAATTGAGGGGTGTCTGGAACCTGCCAGTACACTTTTGCGATTGAGCTTCTGTCAGTAACTTTTATTCTGGAGTTAACTCCTTTCAGGTCTGGGACTCTGATGATCTATTGAAAGAAACTGAAGCCAGGGATGCTGATAGGCTGTCTCTGGGGCCTTGGGTTCTAGGACAGACTTGTGTTGGAAATGAGACCTGGGGTGGGGTCAGCTGAGTAATCTACAGCCCCGTTGGCTTTCTAAAACCAGACCTACTGCGGCCTCTAGTGGACAAGTGGAATCACTGCCCTTTCGGGGTGGAGGTCCAGCTTCCTCAACTGTTTGCCCCCAGGATCTCCAGGACCTCCATCGTGGGCCTAGGGTCAAGTGCACACAAGATGGCACCACCAGCAAGATAATGGGCCATATCAGAACAATTGACTATCCACACAACAGACCAATCCATTAAAAAGCATCTGTACATAGGACTCTGATGAAATCTGTGAGGAAAGGGAAGAGAGAGATATAAGAATAAGACAAGGGCTCTGCCCTTAAGAAACCTATGATCTGATTGAGAACGCAAAACTAAAAATTTTTAAAAATCAAACAAACTCATCATCAGGTGACAAACATTTCAAGAGCTGAGTTCAGTGGATCAGTGCAACTTCTCTGTGACTCAGTTTTCTCATCTGTAAAATGGGGCTAATAAAATTTACCTGGCAGGATTATATGAAGAT